TCTGCCAAGCGGTATGAATTCCTCGCTTAATACTACGGCCTCCGAATCTGGTTCCAAGTCTGGCTGCATCGCCGCCTACCCCAAAGTTATTAAAGAAAAGTACTGCCTGTTTCCGCCTTTTCTGCCGGACGACCTCGCTAACTAGTGTCCCCTATTAATGCTTCATGAGTTAACATATAACTTCTGCACACTGTAAAGATCTTTTTCCTGACACCAACCCCAAAGCTCGCCTTCTGGCTGTGACTTCCATAAATTTAGCACATTTAATTCCCTGATGCTGGTCAGGTCTCAAATCCCAGGCTGAGATAAGCCCCCAAAGTAATTTAGGTAACAGCTTAATTATCTCATCTCTCCTTTACTCTAATCTGTCCATTTCCATCGCCACCTAGGAAGCAGTGAAAAATGGGATCTGTAAATAGGTTTCTGCCCAACCCTATTTCTTCCCTTGCAGTTCTTATCTTGGTTCATGTCAACAGCATCCACCCAATCACCTGAGAACTGAACCTCAAAATCACCATCTACCCCTCCCTCATACCCCCTACTCTCTTTCCAGGATGAATCCAAGATCATCTGCTCTCCTATTGAGGAGTCTCTGAAGTTCAGCCTTCTCTGGCCACCTCCCAGGCCCTTATTATCTCTATTCCCTGTGACTAAGTTCACCTTCTGACTGGTCCTCTTGTTTCCAGCCCCATGCCTATGCCCACACCCATCCACCCATCTACCATCTACTCATTCATTTACCCACCCACCCACCCATCGTCCTTCCTGGAATTCAATACCCCCCAGCCTCCGTCCTTCCTGGAATTCATTACCCCCCAGTCTCCCATGAAGTCCTTACTCTGTCTCCCCAGCCAATACTCTCCTACCGAGTTTAGAATTCTTGCTCTACTGAGTTGCTTCTCTTTGTATCCATGGTTCCCTCCATCTATAATTCCAGCTTTCTCTGCTTCTCTATTTGGAGAAAACTTACCCATTTTTGAAGACCCAGCATAAATGTGACCTTTTTTCATGGGTCTCTCTTCCACAGCATCTCCTCTCTATCAGGCACATCGTTGGGCACTGGGTGTGGTCACTAAAACAGAAACAATCTTTGCTCTGAAATAATTTACAGGTGAGCAGGGGATGGAAACTCCTTAAGGCAGACGTTCTCATGAGTGTGCATCAGAATCACCTAGAGGGCCCATCCCAGGGTTTCTTATTAAGTGGTCTGGAATGGCCCTGCATTCCAATAAATTCCCAACTGCTGCTGCTGGTCCTGGGATCACACTTTGAGAACCTGGGTCTTGGAGTGTGGTCACAGGCATGCTCTCTGGAGAGGTATCATTTAAACTGAGACCTAGAGGAAGAGAAGGAGCCAGTCATGACAAGAGCAGGGGCTAACATATTCCAGACGGAGGGAGCAGCGTGAGTGAAGGCCTCAGGTGAAAAGAGCTCTGAAAGCCAGGAGAGCACAGGAGGGCGACACCTCCTCCAACTTCTCACGCAGAACGGACACTCTATCACCTTCCACTGTAACCTTTTCCTTCTGCTTCTACCACTTGACAAGGAGACTCTCCAAGCCAGGTCTGTGTCACATCCCTCCCAAGCCCACCTGAGGCCCGACAAGGAAGTAAAGGCCGAGGGATTTGGGTTGGGTGGTTGAATTTTAGTGTTCTGGCTTTTTCTCTAGGCTATAAGCAAAGTAGAAATATGTTTGTTTCTCCTAAGCAGCATGTCTCCTCCCTTTTTCTTAGGCAGCTTCCAATATATCTATCCTCTAAACCAAATTCCTGCTACTTCACAGATTTTTAGCCCACTTTGTAACAGAAAGAAAATGCCTCTATGTCGAGTGGCAGAGGCTGCACCTACCCTCCCCAAGCCCAGGGTTTGGGCGGGGTGAGGGTGCAGGGTGCTGTGGGAGCCCAGAGGCCCTCAGGTTGCACCCTCCAGCACTTGCATTTGGCTTTGAGAGGATGATGTGGTCATAGTAAGAGTCAGCAGACTTCCCCTCCTCAAAAACACTGATAGTGGGAGGCTGAGAGCATAACCATGGCCAACCCTCACAGGTGCCCCACCCTTAGGGCACGTGTGGAGCAAGGCAGGCCTGGGGGACCCTGAGCTGACCACCTTCAGGTGGAGGATGGGACTCTCCCCCCACATCCTGCCTTTCCAACATCTCCTTCCCACCCTGGAAAGCAGAGTAAGGGAAGGGACAGAGTCAGAGGGCAAGATGGTAACATGGGACTATGGGTTTGATTTTGATTCTAGTTGCAGTTCCCCTTTTCTTTGTGAAGAAATTATATATATAATTTCTTTGCTATATATATATATATATATCCTTTGCTAAGGCTAACAGAGGGGTCTTTAAGAGAAATATTCCCCCATTTCGTTTTTTGGAAGCATCCCATTTCCCAAGCTCTGGGAAACAGTGGCATATCAATCCGTGGTTCTCAGACTTTAGTAGGAATTAGCATTCCCTGGAGGGTTTGTTAAAACTCACATCGCTGGGCCTGTCCTCAGAGTTTCTGATTCAGCAGGTCTAGAGTGGGGCTCGGGAATCTACATTTCTAACAAGACCCCAGGTGCTTCGGCTGTTGGTGGTCTAAGGACCACACTTTGAGAAACCCTGTTTTAGCACAGTGCCCAGCCAGAAGATGCTAAGAATCTGTCCATCATTACAGGACAAAGATTTTCTTTTCTTACATGTACTTTACTCAAAGTAGCTTTCCTTAACCCCTCCTCCCAATACAGAAGAAGGAAAAGGGAAGTGTTCATATTTTGTTCTTTCAACTGCATAGTTCTAGAACTCAGACAAATACAGACAGTCCTCGGGTTACATTGGAGATCTGTTCCTACAGCATGACGTAACTCGATTTTCGCCGTAAGTCGGAACTCACCTCCATAAGCACCTACGTCACTCACATGGAGCACATACACAGCAGTAATGAAGTGAAACAGTAAAAAAAAAAACACGTAAAAGAAAGATAACAATTCCTGACCTTTACTTGTGGTAAATAAATAATAAAAAACATAAAGCACATATGTACATACGTCGAAATGACGGAACTTTTTTTTTAGATATAAATACTGTAAATGGGAGATGGCGACGTAACCACGAAAGGATGTAAGTTGAGTCCGATGTAACCCGAGGACTGCCTGTATTTCAAACACAACTGGTTTCATATTCCTTAGCCCTGGGGAGGGCAGCTTCTTCCCAGAAGGGAGAGATGCATGTAGCAAATGCCATATGCAACGGGAGAGTAGATGGGATAGGGCTCCGAGTCAAAGACCTGAGTTTTGGCCCCAGCACTGCTCTGTGACCTTGGGAGGATGACTTCAGCTTTCACAGTATCCGTTTCCCCACCTGTGAATGTGTTAGAATAAAACCGAGCTTAAAGGGCCCCACGAGGGTCAGAGAGCCACAGTGAGTGACACTGCAGAACACTGTCTGGATGACAGTTCCAACGAAGCCAACCTGAGCATCTTGGTTTCCACAGGAAGGACCAGTACCTCCTCTCACCCGTGAACTGCTGGTATCTGGTCCTGCATCAGACCAGGCGGGAGAGCCGAGACCATGCCACCCTCAATGACATCTTCATGAACAACGTCATCGTCCGCCTCTCACAGATCAGTGAGGATGTCATCAGACTCTTCAAAAAGGTGGGCAAGCAGGCCACCTGACCTGCCTGGGTTTCTCCTGTCTGTGCTATTCAGGGTGGGATGTGGTTTGGGGACATGAGACCAGGAGGGCAGTTGTGTTGAGGGTGTAAGGGGCCGAGGGCTGGACTTGGCATCCTGGATCCTGAGTTTGAATCCTGGATATGAATGGTGGCTCAGCCACTTCAGCAACCACCACAGAAATAAAAACCTTTTCATGATAAAGTAAGTAATATACGTTCATTGTAGGAAATATGGAAAAATGAACATGAGTACGAACAAAAACTAAAACCGCCTGCAATGTTATCAGCAGTAGTCACTTTGGGATTGTAGTATTTCTATGAGTGCTCATATTTACACATTTTCCAGTATACATATGCATTTTCCCCAATGAGGTCAGCCTGCATATATGATTTTGCTATCTGCTTCTGTCACCTAAAAATTATATAACACTTTATTACAGAATTTTCCCATGTCAATAAATATATTTCTATAACATTTTAGAAATATAACATTTCATTATATAACATACCCTAATTTATTTCACCAATCAGTGTCTTATTGTTGAACACTCGGGTTATTACATTCTTTTACTCTTCTAAACAATGCTTCTGTGAGCAATCTTGTACCTTTGTCACATTCACTGCTATTTCCTAGGATCAGTTTCTACAACGGGAATTTGGGGTCCAAAGTTTACTTATTTTTAAGTCTTTTAACAGACTGCTCAGTTATTTTCAGAAAGGATTTACCCATGTTTATGGCCCAGAAGCCAAGTGGAAGAAGCAATCATGGTTTATGCCCCAGGCCTCTGTATCCCAAGCCCCTTGCCCAGGGCCAAGCAAGCACCAGCTGCTGCGTACATGCCTGTAGCGCTGAACGCACTTCGGTGAACTTCAGTTTTCTCATTTGTGAAGTGGGCAAGTCGTTTAGTCTTCATGAGCCTCATCCTCTCTGTCTTGCAAATGGGGTGAAGACCCACTACTTCCCAGTGGCAGTGTGAGTGTTAAAAGAAACAATGCATGTGAAGGGGGAAGGTGTTGAGAAGTGGTTCAGGGTGTAGGTCTTTGGGTCCACAATTCTTGAAATTCCTGGGGTCATAATCCTGGTCCCATCATTAGCTTTCCATCATTAGTCTGGGGTTTGTTCCTTATACTCTTTGTGCCTCAGTTTCCTCACTTGTGAGGTAGGGATAGAAATACCCACTGGGCAAGTGGGAGGATTAAGAAGGTTTTTAATCCCACGTAAAGCGTGGAAAACAGCACCTGGCAGCTAAGTGCTCAGGAAAGCTGGCTGTCATTATAGGAATGTGAGAGACTGTTACTACTAAAAAAATCTAGCTCATCTCTTCTTGCCAGGTGCCAATTTTAGGGATTGGGTGACCTGGGATTGCTAGGAGCACAAGGAAGAGGACAAGCTGGTTTGAAATATAATAACCTCTCCGTGGTCTGTATTAGGATTGTCCACTCTGAGGATGACTTCTGTAGCAAAACTGTCATCACAGTGTGCTCTGGTGTCCTCCCGGGGCCCTGTTAATGAAACATAGTCTAACTTTAATACTTACATAAGCAAACATAATTAGAATGGTAAATACAGTACAATAAAAAAAATTCACACAGCGCTTTGCAAAGCCACACTGAAGTGATTCAGGTCCCTTGTTCCCATCACAAGCCTCTGCCTGCTGCCACTGTCACATCTTTTTTCCTGGGTGGGAGTGACTCAAAGAGAAAAGATCATCAGGGCCTTTAGGAAATGAAGGGTCCCCCCTCCCCGCCCCCCAAGAGCTGAGCCGAGGGGACAAGTGAGATAAATCTTTTCAGTTCTCATTTAGGCTGACAGCAGCCTCACTTGTGATGGAGGTTAACAGGGTGGAAAATAATGAAAAAATGTCTACAGCTGAGCTCCTGGCTGCCTTGTTACCAGGCCTGTGCCTGTGGAACAAAGGAAGCAACCCAGCCCCCGTGGGCCGGGAGAGAGATGGGGACAGGGCCTCGCTGGCTGAGCTAGCACAGCACGGCCTCTTTGTGTCACATCAGTTATAGATAATCTCGGCACCGAGACTGCACTCCTTATGTAATAACAGTTCCTGCGGGCCTCAGAATGACTGCAGGGCTGGTCTCTGGTCAGACTGGGGCATGGGCTCGTCACCCATTTTATAGATGAGGAGGTAAAGCTTGAGAAGCTGCAAGGAGAACCCAGATTTGGTAACTTTGGGTCTGTTGTCATCACTGGCAGGAGGCAGCATGGCTGGGCTTTGCAGTCTCTCAGAAATGCCTCTCACTGACGCGTGACCCTGGGCAGGTCTCCCTGAGCATCAGTTTTCTCATCTGGGAAGTGGAGGTGGTGATGATGTCTCCATCAGGGGCCTGTTTTGAAGAGTAGATGTAAGCCAGGAGTCTTTCCTGGTCTCAGGCCTGGGAGAGCTGCCTTGACTGACAGCTTCTCACTGACGGCAAGATGCTATTTAACTCAACAACTACCTTTTCATGATTCTCCATTTTCCCTCTTGTAGTGGACTCTATTCTCATGACTACTGGTAGAGGAAACACTTCAAATTCCAGAAGCCATTCTAGGATTCGTCTAATCCAGTGGTTGGCAAACTTCGGCCCCTTGAGTGTGACTCTTCCACAAAATACCACGTGCGGGTGCGCACGTACAGTGCGATTGAAACTTTGTGGCCACACTCAAGGGGCCAAAGAGCCGCATGTGGCTCGCGAGCCACAGTTTGCCGACCACTGGTCTAATCGAATGGACTTATGCATGCAGGTGGCCCTTGCTTTAAGTGTGAGGTATGGATCCACCATAGCAGAATGGAAGTGGACGAGATCTTGGAGCTCATTGTGGGGATCAGGACTCTTATGGTTGCGAACAACAGAAACCCAGCTCAACCTGCTTGAGGGAAAAGGGGGATTTACCAGCTCTCTAGAGCCAAGCCTGGTTCAGGCCCGAGGGGCTTTGAGGGCACAAAGAAATTCAGTTTCTCTGGCAACTGTGCTCCATCCCCCCCTCCCCTTTTTAGGGGAGACTGTGAAGGGCTCTTTTGTAGTCAGTCTCTCCATGTGATGACCAGATGGCCCCTTGCAGCTTCAGGCTTCAAAAAGGAAGTGAGAGCTCCTTTTCCCCCAGAATTGGGTCTTATGGGCTCTGATTGGCTCAGTGTGGGTCACGTGAACATGCCTGCCGCTGTACCTGTGGCTGGGGGATGCATGTGGACTGACCAGGCCTGAGAAACACACCTACCCCTGAAGCCAAATGTACACTCAGCTTTACCTGATGCATGGGACAGAGAATGGGTGAGGGGTGGTTCTCCAGGAAAAACTGAGGTGCAGTAAATCATTCAGTGTCTACCAGGCTGCTGTTCCAGTCCTTTATCATCCTCTATAAGAGTGATCATCCTCCTTCTGTTAGATCACCCCATTACCTCTCAGGACAGCTCATTCCATTTGGGGACAAATGTGACCAATACAAAATTCTCCCCAATGTTGAGATGAAATCTTATAGTGTTTCTCACTCACAGGGCCTGGTCATACCCTTAAGGGCCACATAGGTCAGATCCACATGGAAACCTGTGAATTTCTCAAACACAGAAATCATGATCACCCACCCAGGTCTTTCAAAGCTCTGGGTAAACATCCCAGGTTTCTTCACTTGTCCCTCTGTGATTTGGCTTGTGTTTCCTCTCCCCCTGGGATACTCTCCCTCAGTCACTCTCCGGGTCTTCTCTGACCTACAGAACTTAATATTCAGGACCATTCAGAACACTCTAGGGAGGTCTGGCCAGCTGAGATTAGAGCAGGGCTATGTTCTTTTTTTTTTTTTTTTTTTTTTTTTTTTTTTTTAATATATATTTTATTGATTTTTTACAGAGAGGAAGGAAGAGGGATAGAGAGTTAGAAACATCCATGAGAGAGAAACATCCATCAGCTGCCTCCTGCACACTCCCTACTGGGGATGTGCCCGCAACCCAGGTACATGCCCCCGACCGGAATCGAACCCGGGACCCCTCAGTCCGCAGGCCGACGCTCTATCCACTGAGCCAAACTGGTTAGGGCATATGTTGACTCTTCATTTCTAATAATGAAATCTATGAAGGCGTTTTGCCTTTTTCATGACAGTCTCATCACATGGTTGACTCACTGAACTCTTCGTTCAAATTCCCAGGTATTTTTGTCCAACTGGTTTTTAATCTAGCCTGTGAATTCTGCACTTAGTTTTTTGTTTTTTTATATTTGCCCTTTTAAAATGTTATTATATTTGATTAAGGTCAAATGGGATCAGTGTCCTTATTTAAGTGATTTTTCAAGCATCAATGGGGTAACTTTTCCAAGCAGTTCTAATTCCTCCTTTGTGGGAAAAGCTTGTTCTATAACTTCTCCATGTCTTCCTTCTTGGTGTTACCTTCTTTTATGTGTCAGTTCTTTGCCTCTATTTTTTATTCTTCTCTACCTTCTTAGTGGAGAGGTGGAAAGTGTAGCAGAAAATTGGGAATGAGTTACAATTAAGGTGACTCTTGATTTGGGTGTTGAAGGATGGGTAGGAGTCTGCCAAGTAAGGAAAGGAAGTTGAGAGTTCAGTATTAGGAGAAAGGCAAGAGTACAGTGGGCAGTCCAAGGCAACTCAGAATGGAAGCTGCAAACTGGTGGTCCACAGCTGAATTTGGTCCTCAAGGGTATGACCAGGACCTGTGGCTGGGGGATGCAGTCTGTTTGACCCTCACTATGTTAAATTTAAATCAACATTTTAAAATTGCAGGATTTCACGTAAAAATTGGGATTTTGTGTTTCTCTTAAAAAATCAGAAGCTCTGCCAATACCAGATCCATGAGGGCTCATAGTTGGCAGTACTTGGCGGGATCTGAGTCGCTGCTGGCCCTTTTAGCCAGGGCACACTCTCTCCATTGCCCCATGGTCCCTGCTGTTGTCCAGTGTATGACACCTGCTTGGCTCCTTTAGTTTGCATCCCTGGCCCTTTATTGTTTGAGTTTGTGGCCTTATCTTTTCTTTTTT